AATTGAATTTATTTGCTGCTACGGTAATCAATTATTATGCTATCGTTAAAAATTGTTTTATTACACCTGTCGCAAAGTTATATAAAAATCAAAAATAAATAATATATAGCTAAAATAAAGAAATTGCGAGGGCTCAAGTATATTTAAATATTAAATTATTTTCGGTTTTTGATTATATAAACGTATTTGAGCTATTTTTATTTATTTAGACTACACAAAAAGTAACCCTTGGCACAAAGTAAGCCCTTATAACACAGTTTCGAAATGTGTCATTTGGCAATATCGAATATATAACAACCATATCATAACCATAATCATGGCTGATGACTTGCACTAAAGATTGAAGCATTAATATTCCAATCATATCTGTAAAACATTATCAGAAAACACTGGTCTGCTTTTGAACATAAACTTAGTTTTGTATACCAATTGCTTCCAAAAAAAGTAATTGAAATCAAAATTATTCGTTTCAGCCAATAGAACAAAATAATTGGCCATGTCCTAATCAAATCAAAAGATGTAACGCGGTAAAATGTCAAATTGAAGCCCAAATAACACTTCTATTTTTCAAACAATTTTACAGAAGCTTTCTGAAAGAACCATTATTGCGTGAATTCCGCCTTTGAAGAAGCACTTATATCTTATTTCACATGATAGTATAATCATGAATAAAATTAGAATGAGAAATTTTAACAGAGCTCATCCTGGGAAGCCAATAATTTGCTTTAGTGATTTAAAGCTCACGAATATCTAACTTTGTTTTGAAAATGATAATTATTTCATCAGATCATTAATTAAGAGCTTCTTTAGTCTGCCGCCAAACTAAGATTCATATAATTCTAATTGGTAATAGAATTGAATATTTGCTTATAATAAAAAAACATTGTAAAGTATTCTCAACAACTATATATAGTTGTCTATATATAGAAGAGACAAAAACAACTAAACTAAGAATAATATATATATATATATATGCAATTTTTTAGAGAATTCACATGAATGAATAAAAAATAGCAAAAATAGAATTTATATAAAATAGTATTTCGATGTATGGTAATATAAGAAGCAAATACTTCCGAAACAGTGTTAATACTGTTTGGTTGACTATTTATTACCACATATCTAGAAGGTATAACCATCTAATAGTAATATCTTACAACATCCTCGCTCTTTCATGATCGCCCATTACCACTAATGATCCCATATAAGTTTTATCTGCCCGGGCAAATCGTTCGAATAAAACTTCACTTTCTAACCCCGGAATACATTTATACATAAACATGTAAATTTTATATAACGAACGCTTAGTAACGATGCATAAATAGACTCAAATTACATCGTACTTAAGACATCATGCAATCGATTGCCATATTCAGGTTCATAGGGAACGATTCAAAAATAAATAATTGTATAAACATTTCTAAGCAATACTATAGATCATTGCAATTTAATCACGAAGAGTTCTTATTAACTCGAGTAGGTTATGAACTATACTTGGCACGCTTATATGGAAACATTGTAAGATCGGTGGGAAATACTGCGATCAATTGTCGTAAAATTTGTAATACATTTATAATTACTGATTATGTCATAATATTCTACAGCGCCTTCTTCCTATTTATATAAATTTAGTAGCCATGAGAATCTAATTTAATGAGCTGAAAAACAAAGAAAATAGATTTGGCTCCTTGATTTAGTAAGCATGCAGTAGTTATTCTAAAATGAATCTGCACCGTTCTCTGAATGTTTCGAAAACTGTTCAAAAAATGAAAGTCTTGCTGACTAGGTTTTATTGAAATTTGTTAATGTATTCAAAGACTATAAGTAAACCAACAATTAATGGTGCAAATTGTTTGGATTTATCAAAAATTTCAGAGTGATGGAACTTGAGGATTTGTTGAGTTTTTCACTAAATAATGTCGCTAAACCGGGATAAACATAAAATCTATCTGTCATTAAATAGCAGCAAATCTGCTTTGGATGTAGAGTAATTTCTTTAATTAAAAAAGTGAGTGAAATAATGTAAAAATAAATGGTAAATAGTATGTAAACTATTTGGAAATAATACTAAAACATTGAAACAAATAGAAAAATCTTAATTGAATTTTAAGTTACGTATTAATAACAAGCGCGGCGTACCGCTAAATCTAAATGCTCATCGCCGAATTTTATATTTTGTTTCTGAGTAAGTAGTGAAATCAGAATATTATAATACATCAACCGAAAAAGTGCATTAACTTGGATTATCTGAACACTTTGTCAGTCAGTATGTATATAAAGTGAATTTTAATGACCGGTAAAATTTCCACTCGTTTTAAAAGATTGTTACAATTCTCACGCATTTTGCGTCAAACGCTTTGAACTTTTCAGATGCATATGTCACGAGGTAAAGAAGTTCGGACACAGAAAGTTACAAATATTTAGAGTGAAAAGAAAAAAAAAACTAAATAATTTGTTTTGCAAGATATTGTTATATACAAATTCAATCAATCTGCACCAAGTTCTCTATGAAAAGTTGCTTTATTGCTTGTCACAGATATTTTCTAATCATGCCAAAATGTAAGATGACCATACTTTGATCGGGTCAGTCCTGGATTTACGTTTGCCTTCCGGATTATTCTAAAAATAATATTCGTCCTGGATTCAGCTTTTTTTTGTTGTCTCTATATGAATTTAAAATAATTGTCTCGATTATTTTAAATATTTATTTTTAATAAATTCCAACTATAATTATTTTTATGGAATATGTAGAGAAAAATTGTGCTATTAATAAACATTCGACATTTTTCATACTTCTTTAATTATTACATATTAGCGTATTTAATATTCTCAATATTCGTTATTTCAATACATTATTATATGGCTCGATTCTTCTACGAGTTGAAATTAAGTCAACAAATATTTAATATTAAACAATTCATAATGAAAATGTTCTCAACTATAATATGGGTTAATATCATTTGGTTATGATAAAAAATTTCGTATGGCGACGTTTACCAGCGGTCTGCCTAAAAAGATGAAAGTTTAATTGTAAGCCAAGCGTAAGTTATCCCGTGATTTGTAACGATATTTTCGATAAATCTTCTCACGTGTATTACATTTCATATATTGTAATAATATGGCACGATAAATTATAACGCGGTCAGCTGTAAAGTTTCACATCGTGAGCATGATGATGAATCACAAGAAATTACTCACAGCATCTATTCTCAATTCTTTTGTGAAAACTATTGACAATGATTATGATATTTCCATTGTATTCGATACGAGAAACGATGGTTCAAATTTGCATAATTTGATCTAGGTAAATCTGATAAATCTTTCGATAAATTTTTCTAGCAAATGTTATAAATAATAATAAATAACTTGTTAACCGGGCAGGACACATAAAGACGTCTTCGAAAATTACTTGCGGATGAGGCGTATATTATTGATCGACTATTAAACTTGTACTCGTTTCGTGCTTTTTTGTACTTTAAAAATATTAATAATATATATATATATATATATATATATATATGTCACGGTTTTTCAATCATTTGGTACCAATAAAATATAAATATATGGAATTATAGAGACAACACACGCCCGGTGAACAGGTATGATCTGTGGAAAGCGCCCGCAATATAAAAAACGGAATATAAAAATCTTGCATTACAAATAATGACCCTTAAATTTTACCTCATATTTACGGTAACAAATTTCGCCAAACACTTGTTAAGAGTTTTTTTTTATAATTAATCCAAATCATTCTTAGGTCTATTGCATTTAAGAACATTATAGTGAATATTTTCCAACATAGTTTCTGATCTCTCTTCTGTCCACTATAAAATCGCAATTGCAAATTTATAGTCATTGCTTCAGATTTAAATTCATTGTTTTTATATTCAATAAATCTTAACACTTTTTTCAACATCATCAATTAAAAAATGGCGATGGCTACACTGTCTTGTGCACAGGTTGTGAGTTTAAACTCCCGCTCTGTATAACTTTATATCATGCAGTAGAGATATAAATTTTTACTTGAAAATATAGATCAAAAATATGTTTTCAATTTGAAATAGCCCATCTATAGCAATGAGAAATCTCTCACGTTATTCTTCCGGTAAACGAGTTTAGAATTTAATTCAGCTCACGGACCTGTTTACTATTACTAGATTTAGGGTTTACTAGTAAGTATAAGAAAGATATATATGCTTAACATGTATAATTACGAATAAAAAATGAATTTCTCTTCAAAGTTATAAAGATTCTAATATCAAACTTTGATGCATTTCACGGTATCGTTGTCATGTGGATCATCTGAGTTCAACTAATGAAATGATGTGACATAAAAACAATAGTTTCCCAATAATCTAATTATATCTATTAATAAAATAAACTATGGATAGATGAATCAATTGAACAAGCAAATACCTGAATATAATAAGCCACAAAGATTTTTATTATATGAATGCTAATAGTACGGAGATTCATACATCACACTCCACCACATCACCGTGAAGTAGAAGATAAACGCTCGCGCTCGCACCTATTTAAGTTAAACATTTCACACGAATTTATTCGTTGCGAAATCACGTAGTATTATCTAAACTGTACATAATAATAAACACATCAAGCGTGATTATTTTTAACTTGCATCTTAATAACGCTCATAATGACAGTGCTCGGCGGAACAACCGTAAAACTGTCCTTGACTTGACGTGGAACGCGAGCCGTATGGCAACACTAAACATTCTTCTGACATATTTGATACGGGTCTCTCTAATAGCCAGGGGGCTATTAGGGAATTGTATTGATGATATCCTTATAAACGTAAGATAATTTAAGATGCAAACGACTACAATGAAGTTCTGAAATTAAACTAGTTAAATGTTTATTATTTTTTATTTTCATTATTAATTCCACTACATAAACTAATTGTAAGTAATAAAAATGTATGCAAAATCGCGATAATAAAATTCCCAAACAAGACCCAAAAATCAATTTTTCTGCTCGAAGGTAGGTCCGTGGTGTGAGAGCACATGAACCATTGATTCCCTTTTTCACTCTTATATAATATTTCCATTACTATTTCATCATTATTAATTACTTTTTCATTAATTTTTATGCATTTGCTTTTCATAAATTTTGCTTTCATGATTCCTGATCCGGAGCATTGGCTTTCAGTTCCCAGTTAATATCCTGCAGTTGCAATACCAAAACTTATCTCCTGGAATAGATTGTATTCATTCATTGTATTAGATAGTTCAATATTGTTATTTGAGTACTTTACAAATAATGTTTTGAAGATTTTAGTATCATATGATGTGTATTATTATCCAATATATTCGATAATTATTTCAACCACTTTACCTTTTCCAAACTATTCGAGAAATTCTCGGTAAATGTGACAATGTCTTTGAAAATATAACAGAGCATTACAATGAATCAATAAAATTGGAAATATTTTGAGTTTCAAATAGAAATCGTAAAGTGTCTAAATTGATGTAATTTAAAACGTGATATAAATATATTTGCAAATATTTAAAATAATATACTGATTATTATATAGAATTCGTATAATATATAAAATTCTGCTGAATTACGGCACCAGATGTTTGTCTATTATTCCAAAACCTTTGCTCTAGCATAATGTGCATTATTATCCCAGAGTTAAACGACGCGTCATTTAGTTGGATCTCACTCTGAGAAATATTCGAATGATTTCATGAGCGAATAATGTAACAATCGTTCCGCGCAAATTGTCTAACAGTTGAATTGTGATATATGACCTAGATGCCTGGAAGACAGCAGGACCCGAAGGTGAACAGTTGATACCTATCGGGAAAACACATCGCGTGTGAACTGATGAGATTAAACCGAAATTGTATAATGAAATATTGAAATTCTATCTTAAAATTGTAAAACAGTCAGCCGAGAAGTAGAGAAGTAGCAGGAATTAATGTGGTCTGGCAATTCCTACTTCCAGGTCCAATACCCACCACGGATTTTCATTCGAGGTCAAAAATTGTCTCAAATGAGAATATGTATTTGGTACATTGTTGCATTCCCTAAACGTATAACTATCAGATATATATTTAATATATTTTCCACACATAGAGTGGCCATAAGTGATGGGTTGCCTCTCGTGAAACATTAGGCTAATTATTCAAAAAACTGCTCATAGGACAAGTAGTTCTGATCGCTGTTAATACAAAATAGAAATATGTTTCTTGATTCATCCTGCTCTAGTTAAAAAAAGGAATATATTTTATATATTTCTGCTACCATATACACAATGCAATTTATATTTGCCCAAGACTTGATAAACTACTATTGACATCTAATACAAAACAACACGCATTTGGTATCGTGTATAAGTCATTCATCTGCGAAAATGCAGCAGCTTGTTCTGTCATTCCCTTATCGCCACATTATATTTACAAGATCACGTTACAATACGTTTAAACGGGTATAATCGATTTATCTATGACCAATCTATTACGCGATCACAAGATCTTCGTACACATCGCGATTGCTTCTACACTCCCGAGTCACCGGAACGAACTGATATATTACGGGATACTCGATGGAAGGTACAAAGGAGCTGCAGTTGGTTAAATATTTCTATAGAAAACAACACTTATATTCAGAATACACCAATATTTTTATTTTATGAATCAATAGTTGATTGTTGGATTATAAAAGAATTAAATAACGTATACTTAAAAATTATATTCAGGTATTGTGACTATACAACAGAGCTCAAAGCCAGAAAAGGTAACAACTTATAAAAAGACTTATAAAAATTCTGTCAAAATGGCCGTTTTTTTAGAGATGACGACTTTTCCCAGTTTATGTCGATGGCTAGTTACACATCTTTTGTCTACTTTATAGTAAAACTTTTTACCGGTGGACCTTTCAGTCCCGCTCTGGTTTACTCTAAAATTATTTCCCACGCAATCATTTTAGCGATTCGCAGTAGTGGAGTACTTTTAAAACCAACTGAGATCATCCGTTTCGAATTCTCCATCAGGCACATTGCATTATCCGATCGCATTTAACGCGGTGTCACAGGTCGTCACCGTGACTCAAAACCCAGTTGCTACATATTTCAAACACAACCAATGTGTAATCAGAACACTTCACTTTTTGTCTTACGTCATCTTTGAGAATGCACTAGCTAAAATTTAATTATTATGTAAAATATGCTTGCGGAAATTAACTAGTAAAAGTAAATATCAAAATAATAAGTATTAGAAAAATTAATTTTCATGCTTTATAAACACAGGATAGAAAAGCGATGTACATACTACGACTCAACTCGTTAGTAATAGTATATCAAACTTCCAACTGAGGCATTTTTTTTTATTCAAAATTCTTTAGAATGCGTAGTTCAAATAACCCATATCTTTTCATTCATGTTTTATTATTGATCCTACATTCAATCTAAAATGTCAACGAAACAGTCTACAATAATTTGCAAGTGTATAAAAAACAATCAGATCATTAGCATCAAAACTAAACTAAGTTAAAAAACTATCCTAACCATTTAGTCAGAGTGAAAGAAAAGGATGCCGAAGAAAAACTGACCATTTATATTTATATTTATATTTATATTTATATTTATATTTATATTTATTTATATTTATATTTATATTTATATTTATATTTATATTTATATTTATATTTATATTTATATTTATATTTATATTTATATTTATATTTATATTTATATTTATATTTATATTTATATTTATATTTATATTTATATTTATATTTATATTTATATTTATATTTATATTTATATTTATATTTATATTTATATTTATATTTATATTTATATTTACGGATACAGGAATAAATTCAATAATTACAGAAAATAAATTATCTTAACTGAATTAATTACAGTAAAATACAACTATTAAACAATATTAAGCCTAACATTAGTAATATCTAATACAATAACTTAAAGAAAAAAATGTAATAAAATTCAAATAGTTTAATTGTTGTAGATCTTGAGAGTCTTCTTGTGATAAAAAAATTCTTTAAATATCCGTTATGCAATTTTTATTTGAGTCTCATATCTGGAAAATAAAAATGAAGAGCAGTATCAAAAAAGAATATATAATATGAAAATAATTGTAATGATAAAATACTTAAAGTAGAAAAATGTTAAAATAATTTAGAATAAAAATTAGAAAAAGCATTGAAAAAGGGAAAAAATTGTAACTGTTGGAAAAAAAGTATCAATTATTATTAGTAGGCATTTCATTATCAAAATAACGTTTAATATCGAAATTGGCAAACTCAGAAGTATCGTAGAAATTTTGTGCTTTTAAAAGTTTAACAATAGTATTATGAAATTGACGATAATTCAGTTTCCTAATATGTAGTGGGAGTAGATTAAAAAGCTGTACTCCTATGGTATTAAAAGATGTTTCAAGTTTAAAAGTTGATCCTTTTATAGTCAAATTTCTTGTTTTATAATAGGAATTCAACATGGAGGATAGGTTGAAGCGTTCAGGATTATTCTTTATGAATGACAACGTAATTAGCAAAAATATACAAGGAACAGTGAGAATGTTAAATTGTCGGAAAAGATTCCTACATGAGGACAAGGAACTGAGGGAAAAAATTATTCTTAATGCTCTTTTCTGTATTTTGAATATATCCTTTAAGGATGAAGAGAACGCCTGGTTAGATTATAAAATATTATCATTGAATATCATCCTTATCACAATATTTAGTATTTAATTTAGCTTATAGAAATAATATTAATATAATATTTCTGCTTGCTATATTTCATTCTTCAATACTTCAACTATCGTCAAGGCAATGATATGTGCATCCACCACTAACGTGCAAAGCAACTAAGCCTCTGGCCAACATTTTTCGATATTCACAGTAAATAAACATTATTAATAGTCAATTAAGAGCTGTTTTATACATATACTTATAGGTCAAATAGATATATCTGTGCGACAAGCGATAAGAACGTTTAAGAACGGTTGTATTGATGTGAGGTAGAGTCATGGTGATGAGCGCTGCTAACATTGGCTATAAGACTGCTGTTATGTCTCATCAATTAACATTTTTTTGTAGTCATATAATAAATTATTGTAACGTTATACACAAGTAATATATTAAATTTTAAAAATAGTTAATAACAATGTTTTCACGGATAATCTTTATTCCGAGATTTTATTGAATGATTGATATCACAGGGCGTCAAGCAGATATTCCTCATACACTTACCAGCATGTAAAAGTCGTGCAAAAATCTCGATTAACAAATAGCCAGAGAGAAGAACAATCAGAATCAGAAAAAAAATCTCGGCACATTCGCACATGGCCAAGTTGCGAGCGATCCATTATCGTCCCGCAGCAAATCGGCGATCGGAGCATGAATTTGACGCGCTCACGGGTGGGCCTTCGAACGAAAGTGATATGAGATCATTAAGCAGAACGCGGTAATGGTTCGCAATTAACGATGCAAAACGCCGAGAAAGAGGTACGCGGCAACTCGACTCGAATCGCCTCACCCTGCGGCCACGATGAAAATTTCCCGTTAGACCGGCCGAACGCTTGATCAGGTGCATAATGCAGAACCTGTAAGCGATTAATAACAACAAAAATTGAACCAGTGTTGTGCTTTATGATTTATCGAATTAGCATATTACATGATGTAAGATCGATGTTGCATTAAAATTATAGTAGGCCTCAGGATAGGTCATTCAGCAAAGGGATGCTTGATCATGAAACCTTTAGGTATATTTTAAATTTTTTTGAAAATTTTTCGTTCTGCAACAAATTGCGTTATTTACGTACTTAGTCTGCAAATGAAAAAAAATGCCATGTAAAAGTGGCAATTTATTTTTCAATATAATCTTCTTCAAATTTGGCCTAACAATGCTCCAACTTTTTCATCCCGTCCAAACGTTTTCTCGAGGCAGAAAAGTTGCTGTGAGGCTACTTCATTTCATCGATTTTGTTTATCACTATTATCCAAGGGGCTAATATATTTTTTTATTATATAGTTTGAAAAGCAATCAGAAGTTATGAGTCCTATAAGCTGTTAAGCTAATTTGACTTTATACTATGGTTCACAAATGACGACCAAACAGTTGTTTCATCTCTGTGTGATAAATTTTATTATTACAATTTCTGTTATAGAGCGTATATTTATTGATCAAAGTGGTATTTATCAATTGCTTTAAAATTCGACTTG